CACACACACACACACACACACACACACACACACACAGGTTTTAAAACAGTTAGTCCCAACTGGTCTGTTTCAATACCCGATCTCTGTCACTGCTCAGTCAGGCTTTCATGGATGTGTCGTACTGGTCAAGGCCAGGCAACACGTGTGCTATGTTCATGGTAGGAAAGCACGGACCTGGTCACTATTATGGCCTGGTTCATGAACATAGCAGCAGCGCGCTGTCCTCCTCTAAGATCATAGCTGCGGTTTAGGAAAGTCCAGGTCTCTGGCAGTCCGAGTGTAACGTCGCACAGTTTTGTAACACGTGCAATTTGAGGGATGGATGACAAGCAGATATTAATAATAAATGGTAATTAAATAAAAATACTCAGTAAAAAAAAATAAAAAATCAATAGGAATTGCATAATGAGCACTGCTAATCAATAATTCAATAATAAAACTAATAAATTAATAATCAGTAATTGAATATTCAATTATAAAAATTATTAATAATCCATAATAAACTAAGTACGCTATCCAACTCCGTTAGTTATTTGTTAATTTATTAATTTGCTATTTGTTGTTTTATTTATTTTCTTGCCCGACTCTTTTATGTCGACAGAGTGGGGACTGAATGAATCGACCGCATTGTCCTGCAACAACGGGCCTACCGTCCGGTCATTCCCGCTGCATCGAGACTGAAAGTCGCCCCAAATACATCAGCTCTATATGTCATTGACCGGGCGTTCTATCCGATTGCTACACCCCTCCACTGTTGAAATACACACCCCTGAGTTCGAATCCTTCCCCCCAACACAAAACCCAAATGCCAAAAAAAAAAAACCATCACCCGTTCCAACGGTCCGATCAGACCCGATCCGCTCACGAGTAACACAAAAAACAAATCCAACAAAAACATCAACATCATGATGAGGACGGCACCACGTCTGTGGGAGGGAGAGGGTGTAACCCGTGGGGGAAAACAACCGCCCCCCGCCCCCCCCCCAGGTAAAATTATAGTACAACGCAAGAGAATGAACTCCATTTTACTTAGTAGTAATAACAACAATTTCTAGGCTACCAGAGTGGCCCGGGTCCACTTGCCCGGCCGGCCGGGAAAAAAATATATACTGTTTGTGACGATATATATATATATATATATATATTTGACGATATATATATATATATTTTTTTTAATTTTTTTTTTTTTTAATCTGGTAAAGAATTTCGATGTGACCCTGAGGCAAACGTTGTTCAGTTTATTTTTCTGCATACATAGTTTTTTTTTCGGGTTTTTTTTTTTTTTGCATAACATAGTTTTTTTCGTTTTTTTTTTTTTTGGCTGGGACCTTCCCTGGTCCTTGCACAGCCGGGCCGCCCGGGAAAATAGGGTGACCCCGGCGGCCCGGCTGGTATAGCCTAGAACAATGTACAATTACATACCTCCTCGATCTTCTCGAAGAGCTGCTTCTGCAGCGCCTTGAGTTGCGTCCTGTCACTCTTCGGCTTCTCGGCGAGGAGGTTGCTCAAATCGAACCGCAAGGCGCCAGCCTGGCTGCGGAGCTCGTTCTGCACATAAGGCCACTGCTTCTTCTCGATCAAGGGCTTCACATTAACGATCTCGTCCGCGGACTGCTTGACACGTGCCAACGTCTCTGCAGTAGGCAGGCGCTGAAGATAAAAGCGCTGCTTGAGGGGCTTGTCCAAATCACGGGCCTCGTCGGCATTGCCCGTGCCGGCTGTGGATTTCATTCAACAGCACCACCACAACGTAACATAAGAGTTAGCATAACAACACCGAATTTCAAAACGAAACAGCCATCGCAACGGAAACGGAACGCAACGGAACGGAACGGAACGCAAGTAGGCTAAGGACGGATTCGAACCATCATTTGTGGATTGATAGTCCAATGCATCATCACCTTTACTTTACTTCACCTTTGATTTGATTTGATTGACGAAAAAAGAAATGTGCGAAGCAATGAGTTTGTTTTTTTAACTTTTTTTTTTCAATTAAAGAAAGAAATCAAATTCGTGTTTGACTCATCTACGTGCGAGTGTTTTACGCAACGGAACGCAACGGGAACGCAACGGGACGCAACGGGACGCAACGGGACGCAACGGGACGAAACGGGACGAAACGGGACGCAACGGAACGGAGCGGAACGGAGCGAAACGGAGCGGAACGGAGCGGAACGGAGCGGAACGGAGCGGAACGGAGCGGAACGCAACCCAGGGGAAGGTCCCAACGTAACGTAACGGAATCGGACGGAACGGAAAGCAAGCGAGAGAGAGAGAGAGAGAGAGAGAGAGAGAGAGAGAGAGAGAGAGAGAGAGAGAGAGAGAGAGAGAGAGAGAGAGGAATGAAGGGCAAGCAGTAGCAGCCACTCGAAAACTGTCTCTGTGCACCAACGGGCCAACGGCTACTGTACGCAGGTACCGTCTTCCTCCGAACTTGAAACGCCGCACCGAAATTATGATGGTATCTTGCCGGAAAGATCGTTTAGGTACATTCATGTTCAGGGTGTGTTGTGTTTGAGGAAAAACGGGGACGTACACTGACATACTCCTGCGCCGGTGTATACCCACGCACGCACGCGTGCACCTAGACATGAATTCATAGTATGTACAGTTCTGCACCTAGACGCAAACTTTATGCAGACATAGTTCGAGCCTCTTTTTTTTTTTTTTTTTTTCCCCACGCCTTGCCCACCCACCACTAGGAGTCCTTCAGGACAACGATACAGAGAAGATTGATAACCATGGGCTCTGCGTATTAAAGAATGACACTTGTAAACCGATTGAAAAAAAAAAAAAAAAAAGGTTGGCTGGCCGGGCCAAAATTGACTTAAAAATAAAATCAAACTTTCTTCTTTTCTTTTTTTTGGCAATTTTTTATCCGACCCCTGAGGCAAAAGTTGTTCAGTTAATTTTTCTGCACAACGTAGTTTTTTTCTTCGGATTTATTCCTCCTCTTTTTTTTTTACAGGGACCTTCCCCGGTCCTTGCCCGGGGCCAGCAGGCAACTATGGTGACCCGGGCGGACCGGTTGGTAACACAGAAAAAAAAGAAGCTACGTGCAATTTGTTTGCCGGGATGACCGCCAATGTGGCTACCTACCTACGCTTTTTTTTTTTTTCCCCTCCTTTTTTCAAGCCAGCCACGCTAAGCGAACCTCTTTTTTCTTTTTCCCCTTCTTTTCA